GCGACTCGCCCGCCACCCCCGTTCCCCAGGTTGAAAGCGTCCCGGGAGCTGGTGGCCCGCCCTGAAAGCTCCGGGTCCCCGCGGGCGAGCCGGGCAAATGCCGGGAGTCTGGATGGGTCGGGTGGCGTGTGCGCAAAACGGACTTGTTATCCGCATCCTCAACCTGCAGAGATTGTGAACTGGTCCCTTCTCGCTGGGCTTCAGTTTCCTCGTTCGGTAGGGGCGTTGGGAGAAAGCAGCTCAGGTTTTTGTGCCCTCACATTCTCATTCTGTGGTTCTGAAACCTCCTTGCGTAAGAATTGGGAAAGGGGAGAAGGGATCTTGACAATACAGATGCCTGATTCCTCCCATTCTGACCCAGCAGGTCTGGACCGGGGCCCAGGAATTTGCTGTACGTCCACGATGGTGATGTCGTGGAGAACACTTGGAGAAACACTATAATCTTTCCAAATAAGGCGTCACATCCTCGAGGACAAAAAACAACAACAAAACCAAAGCAAAGCAAGAACAAAACCACCAGTAGCTCCATTCATTCATTTCTTCATTCAATAAATATGTCTTAGGTCCCTCCTATGTGTCAGGCATGGTTTAAAGTCTGAGGATACAGATTTACCCAAAACAAACTCTTTGCCTTTTACAGAGGTGACGTTTTGGTTGAGGTCCTACTGATGTCTGACACCCACCACTTTACTGATCTTTTGTGCTCCTCACTGAGGTCGTGGGTGAGTACCCCTGATTTCCAGATAAGAGCTCTGGCCTTTAGTCTTACAAGTGGTGAATGGGGGCACTATATCTCCCACCTTTCCACCCATCCCTAGAATCAAATGCAAGTTTCTCTCCCTCTCTCCTCACAGTCACACCTTGGACAGCTGCAGACCCCCTGACTTGTATACATACCTCCCACCTTTAACCCAGGCAGTTTCTTCTGCTTGGAATGTCAATCTCCTGCCCCCCACCCCCATCACACACACACACACACACACACACACACACACACACACACACACACACACAGGCTATCTTCCCTCTTGCCTTCCTTCCTTCAGGAAACCTTAGATTGTCCAGTCTGACATGTCTTCCTCCTCAGAGGCCCTGGGAAGAGTTACTGAGCTGATGATGTCTGAGGTCCCTGTGTCACTCCTGCCCCCTTCCCAGCTCTATCCTGGGGACTGGCCAAGACTGCCTCCACTTGGCCCGGACAATAACTTTCTCTTCAGCTCTAATGGCAGCTCACGTGCCAGAGAGAGTGCAGGGAGTGGAGTGGAAAGGCTTCAAGGTACTTTCTGGCTCCATTTTCCTTCCTTTCTTAAAGATGCCTCCCAGCCCTGCCATGTGCTTTACCGACTTCCTTGACCCAGGCCAGAATGGGGGGTGGGGCTGGAGGGTGTCCCTTGGCTGCTGGGAGAGCAGCCCCTGAAGTCTTCAGGCTCCAGTGGCTGAAGGAAAGTCTGTTCCCACACCTGGCTCCCCCTACCCCTTCGTCTGACCATGACCTTGGCCAGGCTGGGGTTTACTGAGGCGGAGAAGGAGGTTGCACAGCCCCCTCTCCGCAGGGCCAGTCCCACACGCAGCCCCAGGCCAGGCTGCTGCTTCCTGAGCCATGAATTATGACCGGGAGATTTCCTTCCCTGTCTGCGCCTCCTTACAGGGGCTCCCGGCTCCCTTCACTTTCGCTTTCTCCCCCTTGGCCCCCTCTCTTCAGTTCTTCGCCTTCAGGTGGCTTGAAATTCCTCTGTCCAGCCCCCTCTCTTTTCCAGCTTGATGGGAGAAGCCAAACAGGGCGTGAACTTGGCCCTGAAGGAAGGCGGGAGGGGGCAGACTTGGTAGGCTCATTCATTCATTTGCTCTACCGGCAGGTTTTGACACATGGGACCCCGGGAGTGAAATAAAATCATGAATGAGACTGAGCCTGGCCTGCTGCAGCCCAGAGGGGAAGGCAAGTTGTAAACAAAGAATTTCAGGACAATGTGGTTGGAGCAAGCCAGGGTCTGGCATCAGAGAGACGGTTCCGGCCCAAGGCTAGCTGCTTCTTGAAGTCTCAGTTTCCTGCTCTGAAAACTGAAAAATGGTACCCATTAGTAGGGCTGGCAATGGCTCCCTGAGTTTATGCCAAAAACGCCAGGGCCTGACCCCCACAAGCGCTCACCGTCTGAGAGGAGCTTGTGGTGGTGTGTGAGGGCGGCTGAGGGACAGCTTTGGCTCTGTTCTAGGCTTTGTTCGTGGGAGTGGGGTGGGGGTCCTGTCACATTCTCAGCTCACCCACACAGGAGGCTTCAGCTCCTGTCCTCTGCTCCAGTCACAGTGGCCTCCTCACTGACTCTGGAGCTCACCTCTGCCTGGCATGCCCTTTTCCCAGATAACTCCATATCTTATTCCCTTTTTTCCAGTCTTCCCTCCAATCTCGTCTCCTCAGGAGGCCTTCCCTGACCACTGGGACTAAAACAGCAACTGTCCCTTCCATCTCCCAGCACCCTGCCTACGGCTCTCCTTCGCCCCTTTACCCCACATTACTTCTTTCTAGAGCATTTTTTCACTGCTTTCACTCATTCATTCACAACTATTAATTGAGCACCTACTATTTCCCCAGCACAGTTCTCGGTTCTGGGACTATGGAAGTGAACATACTACAAATTTATTTGTTCACTAGAATGCAAGCTTCATGGGGCAGGGGCTTTGTATTTTGCTCATCTTACTCCCTCCCCATTACAATCTTCTGAGGTAGGTATTGTTTTTATGCCCATTTTACAGATGAAGAAACTGAGGTTCCGAGAGGGAAAAGTGACTTGCCTGAGGTCACACAGTGGGCCAGTGGAGGAGCTCAGGTCAGTTGGTCTCCTTCCCCAACCCCATGACCTCTCAGGCAGCCCAGAGGTGTGTGAGGTCTGAGTAGGAGTCCATCAGGTAAAAGGAGGACCTGCCTTTCTAACCAGGGCACCCTGGGCTTCAGTCCTGCTGAAATATTTGGAGTTCCTCTGAGGCAGTGGTTCTCAACCTTCTGGTCCTTTAAATACAATTTCTCATGTTGTGACCCAACCATAAAATTATTTTCATTGCTACTTCATAACTGTAATGTTGCTACTGTTATGAATCGTAATGTAAATATCTGATATGCAGGATGGTCTTAGGCGACCCCTGTGAAAGGGTCGTTCGACCCCCAAAGGGGTCGCGACCCACAGGTTGAGAACCGCTGCTCTGAGGCATCAGCTTTGCACATCACTGAGTCTTTGCCCAGCTGTCCTCCCTGCCTGCAGTGCCTGTCCCTTCAGGTCTGACCAGACAACCCTACTCAGCCAAAGCTCAGTGCCGCCTCTCAGTTTTGCTTCTCTTCTCCAACTTTGGTGCAGTCTTGTAGTGTTGATCTCATTGTATTTTGACTTCTCTCCCTTCATCCCTGATTCCCCACTTCTATTTTCCAGGCCCTACAGGGTACCCACTCCAATATTTTTACTACTTTGTTTTTTTAGAGCTGCTTGGTTTACAACAAAATTGAGAAGGTACAGAGATGTCCTACATGCCTCCTGCCCCCACACATGAATAGTCTCTCCAGTATCAACATCACTCACTCACCAGAGTGATACATATATTACAACTAGAAGTCTGGTGCATGAGATTTGTGTACTGGGGGGAGGGGTAGGAGGGTCCCTCAGCCCAGCCCTCTCAAAGTCCGGGAGCCCTCCGGGGATGTCCAACTGCCAGCTTTGGTCTGCTCCCAGACATCCTTAGTGCTGCCGTGGAGGTGGGAAAGGCTCCTGCCACCACCACTGTGCTCGCCAGCCATGAGCCCGGCTTCTGGCTGAGCAGCGCTCCCTCTGTGGGAGCACACTGACCACCAGGGGGCAGCTCCTGCATTGAGCGTCTGCCCCCTAGTGGTCAGTGCACATCATAGCAACCGGTCATTCTGCTCTTAGGTCAATTTGCATATTAGCCTTTTATTATATAGGATTGATGAACCTACCTTGACACATCATTATCACCCAGAATCCATAGTTTGCATTATGGTTCACTCTAGATATTGTACATCCTATGGGTTTGGACAAATATATTCTGACATATACCCATCACATAGTATCATACAGAGTATTTTTACTACCCTAAAAGTCCTCTGTGCTCTGCCTGTTTACGTACCCACATCCCTGCAACCACTGATCTTTTTGTCTCCATAATCTTGCCTTTTCCAGAATATCCTAGAGTTAAAATCATAGTGTGTCGCCTTTTCAGATTGACTTCTTTCACTTAGTAATATGTATTTAAGCTTCCTTTATGTCTTTCCAGAGCTTGATAGCTCATTTATTTTTAGTGCTAAGTAATATTCCATTGACTGGATGTACCACAATTTATTAATCCATTCACCTACTGCAGTGATGGTGAACCTATGACACGCTTGTAAGAGGTGACACGCGAACTCATTTTTTTGGTTGATTTTTCTTTGTTAAATGGCATTTAAATATATAAAATAAATATCAAAAATATAAGTCTTTGTCTTACTATGGTTGCAAATATCAAAAAATTTCTATATGTGACACGGCACCAGAGTTAAGTTAGGGTTTTTCAAAATGCTGACACGCCGAGCTCAAAAGGTTCGCCATCACTGACCTACTGGATAGTAGCTTAGTTGCTTCCAAGTTTTGAGAATTATGAATAAGGCTGCAGTAAACGTCTGTATGCAGGTTTTTGTGTGGACATAACTCCTTTGGCATGTGATTGCTAGATCATATGATAAGAATATGTTTGGTTTTATTTATTTTATTTGTTTTGTTTGTGAATCCTCACCTGAGGATATTTTTTTAATATATTTTATTGATTTTTTACAGAGAGGAAGGGAGAGAGATAGAGAGTTAGAAACATCGATGAGAGAGAAACATCGATCAGCTGCCTCCTGCACATCTCCCACTGGGGATGTGCCCGCAACCCAGGTACATGCCCTTGACCGGAATCGATGGGACCCTTGAGTCCGCAGGCCGACGCTCTATCCACTGAGCCAAACCGGTTTCGGCCTGAGGATATTTTTTCCATTGATTTCTTTAGAGAGAGTGGAAGACAGGGGGAGACACAGAGAGAAACATCGATGTGAGAGAGACACATTGATTGGTTGCCTCCCGCATGTGCCCTGACTGGGGCTGGGTTTTGAGCCTGCAACCGGGCATGTGCCCTTGACCAGAATTGAACCTGGGACCCTTCAGTCCACGGGCCAACACTCTATCCACTGAGCCACAACGGCTAGGGCAGAGTATGTTTCGTTTTTAAGAAATCACAAATTGTCTTCTAAAGTGGCTGTACCATTTCACATTCCCACCAGCAATAGATGAGAGCTCCTGTTGCTCCACATCCTCGCTGGGGTTTGGTGTCGTCATGTTCCGGATTTTGGCCATTCTAATAGGTGTGTGGTGGTATCTCTTCTTAATTTGCATTTCCCTGATGATGTATGATGTGGAGCATCTTTTCAAATGCTTATTTGCCATCTGTATATCTCCTTTGGTGAGGTGTCTGTTAAGGTCTCTGACTTATTTTTTAATTGGGTTGTTTGTTTTCTTATTGTTGAATTTTAAGTGTTCTTTGATTATTTTGGATAACAGTCCTTTACCAGATGTGTCTTTTTTGCAAATATATTCTCCTAATCTGTGGCTTGCCTTCTAATTCTCTTTATTTTTGTTTAAACATATTTTTATTGATTTATATATATTTTAATTGACTTCAGAGAAGGAGAGGGATAAAGAGGTAGAAACATCAACGATGAGAGAGAATAATTGATTGGCTGCCTCCTGCACGCCCCACACTGGGGACTGAGCCTGCAACCTTGGCATGTGCCCCAACTGGGAATCGAACCGTGACCTCCTGGTTCATAGGTCATTGCTCAACCACTGAGCTATGCTGTCTGGGCCTAATTCTCTTTATATTGTCTTTTGCAGAACAGAGGTTTTAAATTTTAGTGAAGTCCAGCTTATCAATTATTTCTTTCATGGGTCATGTCTTTGATGTACCTTAAAAGTCAAAACCATAATTTCTCTCCTATGTTATCTTTCAGAAATTTCATAGTTTTGTGTTTTACATTTAGGTCTATGACCCATTTTGAGTTAATTTTCGTGAAGGGTGTAAAGTCTGTGTCTAGATTCATGTGCCTGCTTATGGGTGCCCAGTTGCTCCAGCACTATTTGTTGAAGAGACTATTTTTGCTCCATTGTGTTGCATTTACTCCCTTGTCAAAGGCCAGTTGACAATATTTATGGGGGTCTATTTCTGGGCTTTCTATTCCAGGCCATTGTCCTATTTGCTTATCTTCTCGCCAATATTATACTGTGTAGCTTTACAGTACCTCTTGAAGTTGGGTAGCGTTAGTCCTCTAACTTTGATCTTCTTCAATATTGTGTTGACTATTCTGGGCTCACTCAAATATTTTTGATACCTGTCTTTAAATGAATATGTATCCTTATAAAATATATAGTGCTGATTTGTGTGAGTGGGTTATAAATTTGTGCAAATGGTCGTTTCTATAGATCTGTTTTTGGGGGGTTATTTTGGATACTCAACACTGTGCTCAGTGAGCTAAGTCTAACTCGAGTCCATTGCTTCTAACTGTTGCTCAGTGTGCATGACGCGCGCGCATAAATTCCCTTTGTCTCCTCTTTCCATTCCTTTAGTGATGACACTGTGGCTACTTCCAACTCCCGCGTCCCCAGGCAAAGCTGTGAACTTCTGCTGCGTGACTTTCATGGACTCCTGTGTGTGTTTCTGGGATGTGCACCCAAGGGCAGGATTCTTGGGCAGGAAGAAGATTTATGCTTAGGCTAAGCACCGTCTGACTGCACGCTGGGATGACTGCTGTCGCCCACATGCCCACAGCTGGGCCTGAGAGACCGCTTTCCCCACATCATCCCTGGCACTTGGATCATCTGATCTCCTGTTTTCATCTGCATTTCTCTAGGGACAGAGAAATGGGTTATTTTCCATCTTATTGTGTTGCCTCCTCCACTAGACTGTGCATTCTCTAAAGATAGGGAATGTATTCCAGAATCCAAGACCAGAGCCTGGCACACTGTGGGCAATAATGAATACGTGTGGACTGAGTGACTGATTGACTGACTGACTGAATTAAAAGGCTAATACACAGCCTCCTACACCTACTTTGTACCAAACCTTGACCGAGATGGTGGTGGTACATGTGTGCATGTGTGTGTGCAGATGAGGGGACACATCAGTCCTACACCTCAATCTACTTGGAGAAAAAGACCAAAATAGTTAGAACTTATTGAGGGCCTACTTTTTTGTCCAGGACTCATAGATATGTAATCATAATCTTAAGTTCAGCAAGGTAAGTATTTCTCGCTCACATGCAAGGTGTTTGCAAGCATGGCAGATCTGGTGTGGTAGCCAGCCTCCCAGGTAGCCCTCAATGATCCTTGTCTCCTGGTATTCACCTCCCTGCATAGGCCCCTCTGAATCAGATCTGACTGTGTGACCAAAAGAATATGGCAAAAGTCACAGTGTGTGACTCCCAAATCCAGCTGAGAAAGGCATTGAGCTTCTGCCTGTTCTCTTGAATCACTCACTCTGGGGATAGCAGCCACCATGACATGAGGACACTCAAGTTGTCCCGTGGAGAGGTCTATGGAAAGGGGAACCGAGGTCCCCAGCCTACAGCCAGCACCAACCTACCAACCACGTAAGTAAGCCTCCTTGGATATGGACCCTGAATTTCTGACCCACAGGAACTGTGAAAAATAACTAAGAAAGATAAAGATATCATTGGTGTTGTAAGCCCCTACGTTTAGGGTATTTCGTCATACAACATTAGGTAACGAAAGCAGGTGGTGTTAGGGACCCGGGCTCTGTCTATCGTTTTGCTCCACCATATGTGGCTTCCACTCCCTAGGTTCTCTCATGGACCAATGTGGCTGCTGGAGCCATCCGGTCTACCTTCCAACTGGCAAAAAGGAGAAAGAGGCAGAAAAAGGAAGGGCACACTTCACCCTTTGAGGACACTTGTCTGGGAGTTACAGTCTCACGTCTGCCCATGCCCCATGGGCCAGACCTTGTCATCTGACACTCCGGTACTGAAAAGGAGGCTGACAAACGTAGTCTCCATTGCACACGGCCTCGCAACCAGCCGAATACTAGGTTTCCATTAGCAAAGAAGAAAAAATGGATATCGGGAAACAATTGGTGATGTTGATAACCACCCCAGGTGTTATCTCTGGACATAATACAGTGTCACGGGGTTAAGTTAGAGATTCGGGAGCCAGGCAGCTTAGGTTCAGCTCTGCCACTTACTAGCCAAGTGATGCTGGGAAATTTATTGAATTTCTCTGTGCCTCAGTTTCCTTGTCTGTAAAACAGGGATCATAATAGAGCCTGTATAGGGTTATTGGGAGGATTGAATTGAGTCAAAATACACACCGTTTGTAAGGCTTCTGGAACATGTTATGTGCTGTCTAAGTGTTGGCTGTTATCTTTATCTAATCCTTACCAGGGCTTTTCTCAAGGTCACACAACCAGAAAGTGATGGAAGCAGACTTTGGCCTGACAGCAATTTTCCCCACTTGCCTCATCCCATAGCAATTCTTAGAGAACAAGATCGCGACCCAGGTCAGCACCCGGCACATAATAAGCATCCAGAAATATCTGTTGGACGAGTGTGTTAAGTAAACATTTAGAGCTTTCGTACAGAGAGAAAGGTCTTGTTGTGTTCTGTTCTGTTCAGGTTAGTGAGAAAAGCTCTATTGACTTGACTTCACTCACATGGTTCCCACCACATGGGGCTGGTGCCTTTGAATTGCTGGGAACCCTTGTTCTGGGAGATGGCCAGGGTCCCAGGATAAAAACAAAAAAGTCTGGGAAGCTGCATTCTGCACCCACCTTCTAGAAAGTTGAGGGACACCAGCATGTTAAAGGAATCCTGCAGCAAAAAAAACTCCGTAGGCTTTATTTCAATCTGCATATTCTAGGCTCTTTGACCATAGATCCTCCCACTCAAGCTCCCACCCCCATCCTGGTCCAGACACCTAATAGAGAAAACAGGTGAGCAGACATTTCTCCAAGCTGTTATCAGTGACATCCACCTCAGTGTGCGTGGGTTCCATTCTTTCTTGACAGCATGTTTGATAGGAGCAAGGGGGGAATGGGCAGGAGGGCGTTGGTGACCAGGCAGAGCTGGGCTAAGAGGGGTACTTCCAGGCATTTTCCCAGAGCCCCACTCTCTAAGCCTTATAGTCTAAGGGACTCTAAAACATCACTGGGAATGTAACAGTTGGGATAAAATGTGTTTTCTGGCATTTCTATTAGGGGAAGTGCAATGTAAATAGAAATAATAATAATATAATTGAGGGATTACTCTGTGCTAGGCACTCTTCTAAGCACTTGTATGCATTTTCTCTCAGAGCAGCCCCACGAGCTAAGTAGATTAAGGAACAGAGAGATTTAATAACTTGCCTAAGGTCACACAGCTAGGGAATGGATGGGAATTCTTTGATGAGTTGCTTGTGGTGGGTATGAAGAGGGAAGAGCCTTTCCATGATAGTTTAAGCTTACATGCTCCCAAAACTCTGCTCCAGGGAGCATGGGTCTATTAGCTGCAGTGCTGGTTTTGCTGAGCCTGCACAAGTATCCACTTGGCTCAGGTTGGCCCCACCAGGAGATGCAAGTTCAGGGCCATCGCAGAATTGCTCCATAATAGAGAGGAAGCTGATGCTGCCCTGGGTGCCCTCCTTCAGTTTCATCCCTCTAAAGCAGCGGTTCTCAACCTGTGGGTCGCGACCCCTTTGGGGGTCAAACGACCCTTTCACAGGGGTCGCCTAAGACCATCGGAAAACACATATATAATTACATATTGTTTTTGTGATTAATCACTATGCTTTAATTATGTTCAATTTGTAACAATGAAATTCGAGGTCACCACAACATGAGGAACTGTATTAAAGGGTCGCGGCATTAGGAAGGTTGAGAACCACTGCTCTAAAGAAACACTGGGCTGATGCTTAAAGACTATCAAATGGAAGGAAGTGCTAAGATAGTTAAGCCCGCCCAGGTACCCACTTGGCTTAGGTTGGCACTAATACCAGTTATACGGAGTCACCAAGATGATGTAGACGATCAAGATGATGCTAAATGATACTGCTGTTTAAGGAGTCCTTTGGAGAAGTCCTGTTGAAAATCTCTAAGGTTGAATGTCAGGGGTAGGACCCCTATCTAATGCTCAGCGGCTGCCTTGTGCCCATGGGCAATTTTCCTCCCTTCTGCATACTAGACAGTGTGGGAGTGCAAATTGGGAACCTGGAGAACCCAGACATCGGCAGATCATGCTACCCCCAGTTCCTGGTTTGGAGCTCAGCTCAGACAATAGGATTTTAGAGAAGAGTGAGATCAGACCCTATTGTTCATCTACACAATATCCCCCAAACAACAGAACCCCAATTTGTCTAGGGCAGTGGTTCTCAACCTTCCTAATGCTGCGACCCTTTAATACAGTTCCTCATGTTGTGGTGACCCCCGATTCCGGAACCCTTGAGTCCACAGGCCGACACTCTATCCACTGAGTCAAACCGGTTAGGGCAATAATTACTTTTTAAATCTCCCACAGTTTTGAAGAGCTGGCCTTGTGAAATTATCGGCTGGGACACGGCTAACTTCTCATGCTGCTGCAGCCAAGAGATCATGGACACCTGCCAGCAAAGCCTTCGTTGCAGGTAGGGCAGCCACGTGGATAATTCTGGCCAATGAGATGAAGATAGAAGTTCCTATGGAGGGTCCACTTCCTCAGATGAAATGGCAGTCTCCTGAGAAGGCTTTGCCTTTTACCTTCACCTTCTTTCTGCCTGGAATGGAGATGCAGTTCCTGGTGTAGCAGCCATCTTGATGCCATGAGGACCAAAATCACATGCTCAGGAGGGCAGAGTGAAACGCCGGAGCAGCTGGGTCCCTGATGTTCTCCTTGAACAGCCACACTGGCCCCTGATCTCTTGGGGGGGCAGGGGACTCTCCTATTTGGTGAAGCCACCGTATTGGGTTTCTATGATATACAGTCAAATGCAAGCTGTTATCAACACATCCAGGCCTCCTAATAATGTTCGTACCATTATCATCTATAGTGCCTGTGTGCCAGGCACTGAACTAACAATGCCTCACACTCACTGTCTCCTTGCATTCTCACCATCCTAGAATTATCATCATGTTACAGAAAGGGAAATTAGGGCTCTGAGGTGTTAAGCTAGGAGAGGGGCAGAGTCAAGGTTGTGGGTTCGATCTCTAGTCAGGGCACATACAAGAAGCAACCAATGAATGCATAAATAAGTGGAACAACAAAGCGATGTTTCTCTCTCTCTCTCTCTCTCAAATCAATAAAAGAAAATCTCTAATTTTTCTAAGTCTGTGTTAGTAGCTATGGTGCTTTAAAAGCATGACCCCCATTCTTCCCTTTAAGAGCTGAGGTCTATGTCCCTCCCCTTGAGTCTGGGCAGGTTTGTGGCTGCTTTGGCTTGTTGAATTCGGCAGAAGTGACCCTCTGTGCCTTCTGAAACTGGATGACAAAAGGTGATGCAGCCCTGGCCGGTGTTCTTCAGTGGTTAGAGCATCAGCCCATGCACTGAAGGGTCACGGGTTCAATTTCTGACCCTGGTCAGGGCATGTGCAGGAGGCAGCCAGTCGATGTGTCTTTCTCACATTGATGTTTCTTTCTCTCTCTTTCTCTTTCTCTCTCCCCCCTCCTTCTCTCCCTCTCACTCTCTCCCTGTCACTCTCTCTGAAAATCAATGGAGAAAATATCCTCAGATGAAGATTAACCAAAATAATAATAATAATAATAAAGTGATGTAGCTTCTATCTTGTTCACTGGAATCCTCTTGCTTGGAGCTCAGAGTTGCTATGTAACAAGTTCAAATGCCCTGAGACCGCCATGCTGTGAGGAAGCCCCGGCCACGCGAAGGTGCTTCGGATTGGTTGTACTATTCTTCCTCTCCTAGCCCAGGAGACAGATAAGTGAGTGAAGATGCCTTCATCTGATTCCTGCCCCAGCTGTTAACTCACCCCCACCTTTGAGTGTTCCCAGTTGAAACCCCAGACACCAGGGAACATCGAACAGTCTTCCCTGCTATGCCTGTTATTGTGATTTCTGAAGTATAGAATTTGGGAGCCTAAGAAAATGGTCATTTAAGACACCAGTTTGTGGGGTAATTTGTCCCACAGCTATACTAATTGTAACTGTAGCTCACTGCAATGCCTCCCAAACATTATCTTCACACCTGAAAGTACCAAAAACCCTGAAAATGTAGTTTTTTAAATTATTCATTGTAATTATGTTCTGTAAAGCCACTGCAAACATTGAATTAGCAAATACCGAACCATTACTCCTGGGGAAAAAACAGCATTAGTTTCCTGTGAGCCTCTGGTCACAACATTTTTGTCAACCGATCAATACATAGCCTTTTTTTATGTGTGTTTCTGTTTAAAGATACCCTTTGGATATAAACTGTTGCTTCGTTAACATTGAGCTCATGGCCAACAAGATGGTAACACACACCTGAACAAAGCTTATCGACACTCATATTTTCCCCATCAGGTGCATCACAGTCTTCTTTTTTGAAAAATGTTTTTATTGATTTTTCAGAGAGAGAGCGAGAGGAAGGGAGAGGGAGGGAAAGAGAAACATTGATGTGTGAGCAAAATATCGATTGGCTGCCTCCTGCACGCCCCCTACTGGGGATCGAGCCTGAAACCCAGCATGTGTCCTGACCGGAATCCAAAGGCAACCTTTAGGTGTGCAGGACGATGTCCAATCACCTGAGCCACCCTGGCCAGGGCATCGCAGCCTTCTTGAGCTTAGGAACACTAGACTGCACTCAGCACTATGCCTGGGGGCCATGTTAACCAACAAAAAGCACAAACATTTCTGAAGTGTGGCTCTAAATAGTTCACAAAAAGAACACTTGTTGACACTCTTAGAGCAGCAACAAGAGGGCAGGACGTCAGCTCGATCCACCTCAGCTGGGAACATGCGTGTCCGAGACTCAAAATGTTCATCACTGCACCAATGGGTGGAAGCACGGGCAAGCATTCGTCTGGCCTTACAGATAAATTTTAGCGAGTAGGCAAATTCACAAATATGGACTCTGTGAGTTATAAGAATTGACTATTATTTAATAAGTTTAGGTCTCACAGTCCTGATGAGTATTGGAGAAAGGGAGGCATACGCAGGTAAAGGCATAAAGCAGTTCAAGAACCTCACTTTTCCCAGTCAGGTCTGTGGTGGAAAGGAATACAGTCGTCCCCTTCTCTGCGGTTTCACCCCCTGCAGTTTCAGTTACTCTAGTCAACTGCCATCTGAAAACACACAGGGAAAATTCCAGAAGTCAAGTATTTGTAGGTTTTAAATTGCACCCCATTATGAGCAGTGTGATGAAATTCTCAATATCCTGCCTTGTCCCATCCGGGAGGTGACTCAGGCACCCCCCCCCCCCCCCCCCCCCTCTACGCATTCCCCACCCTTTAGTCACTCAGTAGCTGTCTTGGTGATCAGATCCACTGTCACGGTTTCATCGTGCTTGTGATCACGTGGCCCTTATTTTACTTGGCCCCAGCGTGCAAGAGTAGTGATGCCGGCGGTTTGGATACGCCCGAGAAGACCGAAGTGCTTCCTTTAAGTAAAGCGGTAACTATGTATAGGGAAAGGATAGTCCTATCTCGGTTTCCGGCATCCGCTGGTGGTCTTGAAAAGTACCCCCTCAGATAAGGGGGGGCTACTATAGTAATAATAGTAGCAACAACTATTCTTTGTCAAGGGCTACATGCTACATCTGATCTCGTTGACCCTACGACAATCCTATGGGATGGAGCCAATTATTAAGCCCATTTTACAGATGAGGAAGCGCAGACCCAACCAGGTTAAGGGACTTTGCCCAAGATCTCACAAACTAGAGCAGGCAAAGCTGGATCTCAGGCCCATTTCTTTTCTCTCTCTCTCTCTTTTTTTTTTAAAAAACACACAACAACAACATTTTTATATATATAATTGATTTCAGAGAGGGAAAGAGAGATAGAAACATCAATGATGAGAAAGAATCATTGATCGGCTGCCTCTGCACGCTCCCTACTGGGGATCAACCCCGGCATGTGCCCTGACTGGGAATTGAATCATGACCTCCCTGTTCATAGGTTGATGCTCAACCACTAAGCCACACTGGCCGGGCTCAGGCCCATTTCTGTCTGAGCCCCATGCCCATGTTTTTTCTCACCTGCTCCCATGATTGCCCACCAGCCCAGGTTTACAAGATGCCTGCCACACAGTACACACACATGCTCTGCTGATGACTCCAAAGGGTCTGGAGCCTTTGAGGCAGTACAGGGAGGGGGAGGCTGAGCCCTGGGGTGGGTGGGGGCAGAGTAGGTGCCACTGGGGAAGGAAGGGCGCCTGTGTGGTGGGCAGGCAGGACAGGGAGCTCGGAGGATCTACAATCAGACCCCCTGGTCCCTCCCACAGAGGGTTAACGCAGCTCAGCCTCCTTCCGGCCGAGCGGAAATCAGGTTCTGAGAGCTGCGCAGGGCTCCAGAGGGATGTTTTTTCTTCTCCGTGTGTCTGCTGCGGCTGGCCCATAAAACCCACCGGAACTGCATGCTGAACGGAGGAATTCCTGCTGAACGGGACATGGAGCAGGCAGGCAGCGGGGAGCCCTTGTCGGGGCACAGACCACCCCCGTCTTCAAGGCCCCACCTCTGGGCCAGGCGATCCCCTCTGGAGGCTTCATGGGATTCTTCGGATGGGGGCACAGGCAAGGAAGAAGTGACACCACCTCCCCCAAATGAACTTGTGGGGCAAGGAGTGAGAGAAGACGGCGAGGGGCAATGGGGCAGGCGAATGGGGTGTGATTCCGGTCCTCCCCTTCTGTGTTAGGTGGCACTGGGCAGGCGTCTGCCTGTTTTCTCATCTGAGCACCCTGAGTGAGATGGCCACCATCTGTCATTTCCTAGTCAGAGGTGAAAGTCTGAGGTTCTTTCTATCTTGCAGGCACCTGGCATGCCTTCCCTCCAGGGGAGGCAGTGCAATGACTATCACTCCTATTTTACAATAAACGGACGCTCACAGAGGTGAGGCGGCCTGCCCAATGTCGGCCACTGGCAGGGGAGGGCAGGATTCAAACCCAGGCCGTCGGTGCCAGAATCCACCTCGCAAGCACTCACTCCCCGGCCTCCCAGTGTGAGCATTCCTAACTCTCCTTGTCCTGGGCTGGTCTCTTCCACGTCTCTTGACTGACCCCTCCCTCTTTAAGACTCAGCTCAGCATGATCCCCTCCAGGAAGCCGGCCCTGACTGGCCACGCCAGGCTGGGCCTCCTCTCGGCTGCCCACACCCCGGGGAGATAGCTGTTTTAGTCACTGGGCTGTGAGCCTGGGTGAGCAGAGCCACTTCTGATTCCCCCCTGGTCCTCCTGCACCAGCCAACGCAAGAAACTTTCAATTTGCCTTGAAGATGCTGAGTGCTGTGGCCGTTTTAGAACGTGGCCCATGTTCCTCCCACTGGAGTCAGGGTGGGCTTGTGACTGCTTTATGGCAGAGTGGCTCTGTGACGTCTGAGGCTGCGACATAGAGGGGATGCAGCATCACCTGGTTCACTGGAACGCTGGTTCCTGCAGCCCCGAGCTGCCCTGTAATGAGCCCAAGTGCTCCGAGCTGCATGCCTCGAGGACGCTTAGGCCACACGGGCTCTAGAGTCATGTGAAGGCGCTCCTGCTGGCAGCCCTAGTCTTCAAGTCACCCCAGTCCAGGGGCCTGGATGCTTCTAGCCTTCAGCTACGGAGCCAAATCCAGCCTAGTCTTCCCAGCTGAGGCTCAAGACACCAGGCGGCAGGGGCAAGCCAGCCCCACCATGCCGGGGCTGAGGTCACGAGCATAACGAAATAGTTGTTCCTTTAAGCCACTGAATTTTGGGGAAGTTTATGACACACAAATAGTAACTGAAACAGTGCTACCAACCTGAGCAAATCACCTTCATTTCTTGCCAGGATTCTTGCAACGGTCTCCTCACAGGGCTCCCTGGTTCCCCGCTTTCCTCTCTGCCATGTGCTCTCCACAGCAACCAGAGAGGCCCCCTAATGTGCAAGCCAGACCATGTCCCTCCTTTGGTCAAAACCCTCCCTTGGTTCCCAGCTCACTCAGAGCAACAGCCAAATTCTTACAATGACCCCCAGGCCCTATGTGATCTGCCTTCTCTCCCACCCCATTACCCCTCTCTCCTGTCTCCTACCCTCTCCCCTGCTGACTCCTCTCCAGCCACACTGGCT